TAAAAGGTGCCCCCAAATCCGGGTGTAGGATTTAAAACAAACCCAAAAAAGGAACCAAAAAGTAAAGCATACAAGTCAAATAAGATAAGCATGTAAAGGTGATCTAAAACCCTAAGGTAACCCCGCTTAAGTTTTTACCATTCCCCAGCAGAGTCGCCAGTTCTGTGATACGGTAGGAGAACTGACTTGAGGTTTTGCGTTTGTATTCGCACTTGTGCGGTTTAGTAATAGTCGCCATCGGCTTTTTATTTTATCCAAAGGAAAGGTCAAAAAGCACAGGAAAGACCTTTGAGATGTTTTCTTGGGTTTGGGGGGTAAATTGTGAAAAGGGAAGGTGCTAGCACCCTTTTCATCCATGGTTTTCCATGGGCTCTTAGTTACTTGTTTAGATCACTTGCTTTTGCTTTTCAATTGTTTGAAATGGTGCTTTGTGTGTGGTTTTGAAAATGTTTTGAAAAGAGGTCTTGTCTAGGCAACCTTTGTAACAATTCTTGTTTGAATGTTTTACAAAGGTGTTTGTCTTTTGAAAAGATGTTTCAATGTTTGAAAGTTTTGTTTGGAAATTGTTTTGAAATTGTGGTGTGTTTTTGAAAATATCAAGGATGTTTGCAAATTAGATCAAGTAACTAGGAGTTGTGTACCCTAACTCAAAGATCTTTCCTACACATTTTTAACCCTTTTACATTGTTGTTTTACCATTGTATTTGGTAAACAAACTTGTGTTTGGATGTTAAACAGGACAGGCGCGGGTCATCCCATACAATCATTGAAAGCAACTTGTGAGACGCTCTAGCAATTTTGTAAGGGACGAGATCGTTTTATCGAAGGCAACATCGAGGGTCATCGAGGGACTACGATCTTTGTTTATCGAAGGGTCATTTTCTAGAGTGTCGCATATTCGAGGGACATGATTGTATTTCCGAGGCAACAAGCGAGGTTACCCTAGAGGTGCGCGTGTGAGAAGTGTATTAATTTCAAGTTATTTATTCTTGGATTAGGTCATCTAGCGATTGATTTTTGAATCTCGCCATACATGTCTAATTACTACACAGTATATTGAAAGCAATAAATTGTGGGAATTAAAAGTTTAAGCTATTACAAAAGTATCCGGGAATGGGGGTACAATTATTACAAATGGGGGTGAATCTCATAAGAATAGCAATGTCCAAATATTACAACCAAATCGAATTATTGCGATTCAATATAAAGCTAAGACAATTTACGAAAATAAAATCAATAAAGTATGAAATGCATGTATTTACTTGAAAATAAAATTTATTCTAAAAAAGAAATGATTTAAACTAAAAAAAAGATCTTTATTATTACTCTTTTGTATTTTTTTTAAATAATTTTGAAAGAAACGTTTAAAGAAAGAAAATTAACTAAACTAATTCTTTATTTTTGTACTTTTATTAATCAATTAAAAAAGGTTTAAAGAAAGAAAAATTAATTAAACTAATTTAAATGTTCTTTTTTAGTGTTTTTATTAAGTGTAATAAAATAAAAAAAGGTTAAAAAAGAAAAAGTAAAAAATTGATTTTTTAGGGTTTTTTTAAAAAATATATAAAATCATTATTAGTATTTTTCTTTTTTTTTAAAACAAACAATAAAAGAAAGAAAAAGAGAGGAAATGGGCTTAAGGGGTTTGGATGGAAGGCCCAAAGACATAATTGATGTTGAAGCCAGAAACAAAAGGGCAAGGGGGGGGGGGGGGGGGGGGGGTGCTAGCATTTACGCATGGGCTTAATGCTGTTTGAAACGGGGTGGCCCAATGCTTAAGCCTTTCACAAATGTTTGATCAGGGTTTGTGAATTAGGGTTAACATAAGGGATTAGGGTTTAAAGTGTTCCACACAGCGGCGCCGTTTCTTTCGTTCTCTCTTCATGTCTCTCTCACTCATTCATCTTTGATCTTCATATCCCCGTTTCTGTTGCCGGCGCATCTCTCACTCTCAACCCTCTTAACGATTCTCAAAGTTTTTTACGAAAAGGTACGATTTTGCTTTGGCTTAACAGTGTCGTTGATTTTTTTATACGTTTTGTTCATGTTTGCTTGTTAATCGATTTTAATACTCACTGAGATGCAGGAAAGGGTTTGAGGAGAAACGTACCTTTGGGACTTTTGTGAAATGGAAGTGGATAGAGATTTGAGCTGATGCACCTTGGTAGCTGGACACGGAGGGGGAGAAATGATGATGACGAACGCGTGAGCTTTGATAATCTTTTCTTTTATATCTTCTATGATGATGATGCTGCTTCTGAACCTTTTGATTTGTAAGTTGTTGATTGTTATGGATTTTTGGTTTCTTTGATTGGTTTTGAATATTTTTGTTGACAGTTTGCTAGTTTTTGTTGTTTGGACTGAGTTGGAATTGCAAGTTTTTGGGAGAGTTGTTCTTGCTATGCAGGTTTTGACTGTTTGTTTTGTGAGTTGGTTCACAGGGTTTGGCGTTTGTTGTTTGAAACTGCTAAACAGTTTTTGAAATGTTTTGTTACCTCAGTTTTGACAAAATTCCCCCTTGTAAACAGTTTGCAAGCCTTTTTATTCCTTTGACAGTTTTGTTTTCTCTGTTTTGACCACAATGCTCTCTTTTTTCTTCCAGTTTGATGGTGTTATATCTAGTTGCTTTTGTTTTGTAACTTGTGACAGATTAGCAAAACTGTACAATCCCAACAAAAAGGTGACATCTCTCCTCTCTCTCCTCTCTCCATGATAAAAGCAAAAATGCTTTTCTCTGCTTTTCTGAAAAGTTTGCCCATTTTTTAGGAAAATGATGAAAAAGGTTATATGCAACAAGCCCTTTGCTTGTGTTTTGGTTTACCATGCTGCATTGTACTTTTTGCCTGCTGTTTGTACTTGTTTTGCTGCTGTCTAGCTTGGCCTTGTTGCATTCTTGTTGCTATGTTGCCTGTCTTAGTTGTTTGTCATGCTGTTACTGCATTGTTTAGTTTGCATCCAGTTTGGCCTTGTTACATTTGCGCGCCTGCTGTGTTACTTGCTTGTTTGGCCTTGTTGCATTCAGTTTGGCATTGTTTGCATTTGAACAAATTTACTTTGCTTGCAATGCTTGCTTAGACAACTTGCTCTGTATTCTTTAATTGGACAACTTGCATTTTTATTTTTCTCTTTGTGAATCAAGAAGAGCAATCTTCTTGTGATTTGCAAAGAGAAAAATAAAAACGTGATGAAAATAACCCTCTGATTCCAAATGGCAAACTTTAATAATGAAAATTTTCTTTCTTTTTGTTTTGAAAATTCTTGTTAATGCTCAATCAAACTGTGCTAATCTTTTTTTCTTTTTTGTCTTTCTTTCATGTGAGCGCAAATTGGAAGGTGGCAAAGCAGAGGAAGCAAGAAATTCTTTGTGGCGAGCATGGGAGCAATGGAAGCTTAGGCTTAGATTTGTAACTTAGAGAGATTTTCCATTAGTTGTAATAATTTATTTTTCAAGTACTATAAGTTGTAAAACCTACAGCATTTGAATAATAAATCATTTTTGTAACAACATCTGAAATAAATGAAGAAAGTCTTTATGAGATCATCTGATATCCAATAAAAGTCTATTATTGTTAGCAACTTGTAATTCTTTCTTTGCATCTTCACTAATCCTTTAAGATTCCTGATTAAAAATAACTGAAACTGCATTCCAATAATTCCAATCCAGATAACTTAAACTCCAAGTAATCCAATAACTCAGTAATCTCATAACTTTGCAACAGTATTCCAATCAGAACACACACTGTGTATTCCAATAAATAGGCAAATGTTTATTCCATAAACAAGCAGATGTTTTAAAAGACGCAAATTAACTGGTTAACCTGGATCAAACAAACACTGCCTTTTTTCCAGTAAATTTGAAAGAGCATGAAAATAATGTGAAAATCAATTGAATTTCTGAGAACTCAATTTCTTCTGAGAAATGCGAGAAAAACCCTAATTCTTGATCTACTGTCAAAGAAAAATCTATCTGATCGATTCCTGAGCCAATCTTGAAAGTTTGAATAAACCCTAGGGTTGTGATTTCCTGTGAAAAATGGGATGACAAATTTTGGAGTACAACACATACAATTGACTTTTTTGATGAAGTCACTTTAATTGACCAATAAAATATCAACTGATGCCACATCAGGTTATAGTGCAGAAAATCTATGAGTCTTTTTTTAAGAAATTTTTACTTATTGTATATCTATCCTTCATTAAGTCAATAATAATTTACATATTAAAAATATTTTTTATTTGAAATTAAATAATAACTTATAATAGTTTTCATTTAACAAAATTAATTTTGCAATTTAAATAACAATTTTACTTAACTAATTTACTTTTGATCGTAATTAAATAAATTTACCATCCAATATATTTGAGATAAAAAGAACAAATTGATTTATTTATTTATTTTTTCTAACATTTAAAACCCTTGAACAACAAAATTCAGTAGAACACACAGGTTGGACGTAAAATCAAAATTTCGCCGGAGGCAATCGGTTGTAGAAACAGTTGGAAACTCTCCCAAGTTTTCTAAATACTTTTATCAACTTTTTCTCAGATTTCCCTTCTCTCTTGTGATGTACGTGAGGATCCAATTCCACCGTACGAAATCACACCAAACTATTGTGTATGTATCATAATAAGTGTTTATGTATCATATAATCTATGTGGTAGTGACTAAATCAACATTGTTTTTTCATTAGTCAGATTAATGATTTCACCAAAAAAATCAATCGGATGACTTCACCATAGAATTTTCTTAAACTTATCCATAACACCATATAACTGATAGTACAAGAAATATTCAAAACTCTTACACATAATCAACCAAACTAAAAGACATCAAAACATGCCATTCCTAAAAACGATAGTTTACTTTCCTATTTCTCTTTAATAAATTTTATTCTTATTGTGATAGACTAATCCATCCACATATTAAAATCAAGAATACAAAACTATAAGTGTGCATAAAAATTACAACAGTGTGACACATAGTTTAGAATATTATTATATCAAAGCATTACTCTAGCATAGTCTGGTGACATAACATTCTCTAGAGATGATAACGGACGTGGCAGTTCTTGTTCCTTAGATGGTTTGTTCTTCAACAAACGTTGTTTTGCAAATTGAAGATTTTCCATGACATAAAACCACAGCACATGTGATATACCTCTCTTGTTAAACCGAATCACCAAGAAAAGAAGAAATCTATGGACAAATAATAAGATAATCAACATCACTAGGTCCAACCATTTTCCATGACTTAGTGGAACCCCAAATAGTATTGGTAATATTTGTTCTCCAGTAACTTTTGGGTCTCCAGGTAGTAGAGGATCAAACTCAACCCCTAACATGTCATTCTTGTACTGTCCCTATATAGTTGAAAAATAAATAGAGATAATTAATTATTATATCATATCATATGCTCCACATTCTGATTTTTTGTTTTGAACGTGTTTAGTAAAGTTTTAAATAGGTATTTCAAAACAGGTAGGTGATAGGTGTAAGTATTTATAATACAACTACTAGGGTTTGATGGCAATAAATTGTTTCCAAAAAAATCCAACATTTGTAATGTAGTACTAGTAGTACCTGAACAGCCCATGCAGCAAAACTGAGGTAGGACATAGGATAGCGCCAAAAGATCTTTGGAATATCATTTAGTGGCCTAAATATTTGGGAAGGCATCATCATAAAAATCTACACCAAACCATCAAATAATTATAGGACGCTGAGATGATATAACACGTAGATATCGATAATAATTTAAAAAATAGATGATTTAAATTAATCACATTAAATAATATTGTGTCAGTGTCGGATACTATATCTGTGTGTTAGCGAGGAAAGGAATTTTCGCTTACTATAAAACCGGTTCCTGCTCCTATACCCATCATAACATTAGGGACCACTGCTGCTACAAGCATGATGCAGCTCTCAACAACAGATAGGCAGCAGAACAAGTTAATACAGAAAAATGCCAAATTACTTAAACCAGGATGAAATTGCACCATAAAGTAAATTATGATTCCTGAAGAGATTGATATTAGAAAGATGAAAGGAAATGATGATATAATATTTGATATCACAAATGCAGCTTCTCCACAATGTCCTTTTGATCTTTCACCATAGAATACCTGATTTTTATTGCAACAATGTTCATTAGCTATATATATATATACTTTATCATGTAAATTTATATATATCCAAAAAATAGTCTCTAAAATTACCTTTAATTCTTCAATGAAAAATGGTAATCCTCCACATGACAAACATATCATGAAACCGTAAATGAATGATACACATTTTCCTCTAGCTAAGATTGAGGAGTTGCCAGTGCCAATATGAAAAAAGAGGGTGCCAATAGTAATTCCAGTAAGTATGTAGAATAATATCCTGAGCCAATAGTAGCCTAAGTCTCTACTCATGTTAAGGAAAGAACGTTTGGTGAGTGTAGAAAGTTGCTTCATCCAGTTGGCACTGCTTCTTACATTGTTGGAATTTATTGCTTCCTCTTTCTTCACCTTAATTTGCATTTGAAATTAATCAATGGAATATTTGTGCTTAAAATAATGTAAGATAAATATTGAGTGAAAAATTGCTTACATTTGTTTTTAGTTGTTGAATTGTTGTTTTTGTATGGATGGTTAGCTCTGAACTTTTGTAACTCTCTATGAGTTTTCTTCTAATGTCTGCAGTTCTTATAATTCCCACTTTTGAACTTGATGCTGTCTGTCAAGGAGAAAATATCATATTAAAAATATTTACATGTGTTTTTCTCCTTATAAACATAATTTTTTTATTGGTTTCTTACATATTTAGAATGATTCTTTCTAATTTGTGAAATTGTATGATATAAAATCAATTATTTACTGCGTCATAAGTTGTGATAAGTGTTTGTCATTTCACAATAGTTAAGAAATACAATTAATTTATAAATTATAAATTATATCTAACAAACAAAAATTATTAAGTAATAAAACTAAAAAGTAACATCTATCAATTACAAATTTAAATCCACAGTGATATTATTTTTACACCTATTTCCTACATCTAATATTGTTCACCATATTTATACAATGAACAGTAATTTTATCAATAAAATAAAAAATATTCATAAAAAATTAAATAAAATTTAATTACAATTTTTTTTAAAAATTAATTTTATAACATAAATATAAATTTTTTACATTAAACAATTTTATTATTGCATTAACTACAAAAGTATATATTATTAACCAAATATTTTATATTAATCAAATTCACTACTTTACTGAACAATAAAATATATGATATTAATGATGTTCGGGCATTAATTTATGATTTGGTTAATGTTAGAATTTGATTAATTATAATATTATATATTTTATTTGAAGTAGTGAAGTTGGTTAGTAAGTTATAAATAAAATATATGATTAATAATATATATTTTTATAGTTAATACAATAATAAAAATGATTAATTACAAAATTTAATATTTGTGTTACAAAATTAATTTAAAATTCTTTTTTTTAAATAAATATTTTTATAATTATTTTTTATATAAAATATATTATCCACGGTATAAATACGTGAATAATATTAAATATAAATATTAATATAAAAAATTGGTGTAAGAATATCATTATTCTGCTAAAACTTTAAAAGCATACACTAAAAAGTGTCTTTAAAACTCTGTCTTCATCAAGAATTATTCGATCTATTTTAACCGATAATTAGAATGTTATATTTTAATTTTAGAATTTTTTGAAAAAGAAGTAATTTTTTTGAAAAATCTGATCACTTAAAATTTTTTTTTTTGATAAATAAGTCATTTTTATAAAAAAAATGAAATGAGTGTGCTTTAATTAGTGTTTTTCTCATTTCATATGAATCTATAATATTAAGTTTTTTTCAATGTATAGTATGAATGACCTTTTTTTAATTTAATAAAAAAAATGTATTTTTTTATTTATTTTGAGATCGGATAGATGAAACAAGGATGAAGTTGTAGGCATAGAGTCATAAAGTGAGATCTCTGTGTTGTCTTCAAATATGACTACACAACCATACATTTCAAATTTCATACAACTTCATACCGATTGAGTAAAAATCTAACAAAAATATTTTGTATACAATATCAATTTTAACAAACAAAATAAAACTTAGATGAAGGATGATTAATGACAAGATTTGATGAAAAAACAAATAATAAAATCTTAGACCTAAAAGGAAATGAGGAGCAAATATGATAATATAATATATTGAAGCGGAAATCCAAGATATTATCAATTGCAATACGGGATAAATTAAAAAAAAAGTGAATTTTTTATAAAATAATATTTTAATTAAATTTGTACCACAAACACATTAATAGAATGACATTATGTTAGATTTATTTGTGGTCTCTATGCATTAGTAATAAATATAATAGAATATAATTTGACAATACTTAATATTATATATTAGATATGCAGATTTTGTGGTCGATGTGAATTTTGATGGATCAATTATTGATATCCGACCCTGATCAAATATATCCATATTAATTCTTTATAGTTTAAATTTATCATTTAATAAATATATTTTTAATCTTTTAAATATACGAATTGAATTGATATTGCCTTTCATTAACTAAAACATTAACTAAAATATTAAATTACTCAATTAGTTTTAAACAAATATAGTAAGTAGTTATTTTTAGTTTAAACTTTTTATGAAAATTGTATTATATGACTAATTTATAATTATTTTTTATCCCAAAACCAAAACTATTATATGGTTATATATATATATATATATATATATATATATATATATATATATATATATATATATATATATATATATATATATATATATATATATATATATATATATATATATATATATATATATATATATATATATATATATATATATATATATATATATATATATATATATATATATATATATATATATATATATATATATATATATATATATATATGTCAAATGATTGTTATGAAACAAATCAAAATATTGAATATTAACAGAGATACGAAGTTATTGATCAAAATATTGAATATTAATGAAAATCTGAAATTACAGATTAAAATATTAAATATTAACGGGAACTTAAAGTGATTGATTAAAATATTTAATATTAACATAAACATGAAGTTACTGATCAAAATATTGAATATTAACGAGAATATTTTGATATACGAAAATATACTATTAATCTAAATATTTTTTATAACGATACCTAAACAAAAATAATATTTCTACACAATAATATGAAATTATTAATTAAAATATTGATTATTAACAAGAATATAAAGTTATTGATTAAAAAATATTTTTATTAATTATATATTTAATTATTATTTTTTCACATATATCAAATATTTTTCTATTAAAAAATATATATCTGAAACAAATGCGCATCTCATATTAGATCTGATGCGAAGTCACCCATTTATGGGTAGTTAGAAATCAAATGAGAAACTTTTTGAAAGAGATAAAATTAACAACTAAAATGTCTAGACTTACGTGACATCTTGCAAGAGCTTCGTTAATCAAGTCAAAGTCTAAATTAATGCTCATAAGAAAATGATCAGAAGGATTTCTTTTGGTAGGACAAGGAAAACCTGCATCAGCAAAAAACTAATCCCAAAATATACTTAATAGTGACACACAATTTTGAAGTACTAGTACTAACTAACATTAATGGATTATGAAGTTAAGTGCTTAAATACCTTTAGAGCCATGTTTGCTTCTCCAAAATAAACAGTTTGTCCATTTGATAGCAA